CAAGGATACTCAAATATGGACCTTAAGAAACCATTTCATCACATCATTTCCATAAATAGTCTCCAATGGCAAGCCATGGGCTCTTGACCAGAGTCTGTGGTGTCAGTTTGAATAGACAGGTGGGTAGGAATTACTAGGCAGTAACCTTTTGTACTTTCTGTGGATGACAGGTGTATAATTTCTATGCTCACCTTCTACCCTGGCCTTTGGAGATGGGATCTTTATTTGCATGAGATGTTTTCATTAGTGGAAAGAATTTTGGAAACTGCGTCACAGGATATTATAGTGATGCTACCCCAGGAGAAGTAGGAAAACAAGTCTGTCACTGTCGTGATGGCAAGGCAATGTTTCTGGAAAGTAAGGACAACCTATGTGCAGGAGAATGATTATCCACTGCCTTCTGCAGAGGGTTATCCAGAGTCATGAGAGGTTCAAGTTTACATGTTCCTACTGTAGTTGCCATTTTTCATCTTTGAATTAGTTCCAAGTGAATGCATATTTATTACAGGAATTCAAATCCACTTAATGCACTTAATTTACCCTGACCAGTTTCACGAGAGAGATTGGGAATCTTTGGGCTAATAATCCTCCCTGGTCCCTGAGAACAGTTGCAGCTGTTCCCTGTGTTTCATGCAGAGGAATTGTGATCCATGCTGTAAAATAACTCCCTTGCCCACATGCTGAAGGCTGCAGTTGTATTTTGCATGTGTCTGCTAACACCCTACAGGCTGATGGGTGACTCTCTCCTTGGGAAGGTGCTAATTCCCTCTGCAGTCACGTGCCTTTTAAGTGAGTCCATACCATTTTCTTGTGGCATTAGTTGTGGTAGGTCAAAACTGGCACTCAGGTGTGTAAACTTTATAAATACAATTAGCCTTTGTTATTCTGGGGAAGTAGAGGTTCCTGGACCTAAAAGTCCTTAAAGTTATCCAGAAAACGCCAGAGTAGGATCTAGGAGATCAGAGAAAGTGACAGCTCTTTGTTCGTTTCTGCCAGCTCAGGTGGTTGTGAGCTGGTTCTGGCCATTGGTTTGGTTTGTTTTGTTTTGTTTCTTTTACTATAGCTACCAGAACTGTAATATGGTGCCTTTACAATCTGAATTTGAGTACTGTTCCATGACTGTATCCTTAGTGTTCCTGTAATGATATGTGTGAGACTTAAAAATGTTTTTAGGAAGAACCTAAAGTACATTTGGAAAATGTTTCTGAGGAGATGGTGGTTGTTACTATCACAATTGATTTTAGCCCTGTGGAAATATTTGAGACTTCTGCAGTTTTGGCCATTCAATTTTGGATTGCAAATAGGATTTTTAATTCAAACTCTCTCCCCCTTCCGGTGAAAAAAGTGAGAGAATCTGGGGGAAGAAGGAAAGAGGAGGCTGTAGTTCTGCAGTATGCTGAGAATGACTGTAGGGGCTTCCTGAGTCAGATCATTGTGGCCTTACAATGATTGGAGTCAATATATAATGCCTGTTGAGATTTGTTAGAAACACTGCTGTGCTGATGTTCTGTGCTGCTGGCCTTGACCCCTCACCAGGTGCTGTCCATTTGCTTTAGAAGCTTTTTGGTGCACCTCTGACATCTGTCCATGTGCCCATTTGTCACCTCTGTCTCCTGGCCTGCTCCAAAATACCTGCAGGTCACTGGTAGAATGCCACTTCCCTGCATTGAAAAGCATGTTTCCAACCCACCCTTGTTTTCATTTTAGGCATTTACTGTGGCTGGACTTTCCTTTCCATACCTTTGCTTTCCTCTGAGGGGGTAGAGGGGATTGTCCCTGTGAGAAGGACAATCACAATATGCTTGGGATAATGGTTCAGTTCCCAGAATCTGGGCTTTTTGAGTTCCCTGCAGTTCTCCAGAGGTACTAGGAGTTGAGGGGAAGAAAAACTTTCATGAGGACTGGTCAAAATAACTCTGTCCTGTAGCCTTTCACTGTTTTGGGCATATTTCCAGGTGTGTTTTGCTGACATAACAGACCAGCACTTCTCGTCTTGCTGCTCCTGGGCCTTGCATTGCTGTACATACAGTGTTTGCTTTTGTTCAGTTTTGGAGACAAAAATGCAAGCTTCCATCTTCTTTCTTAGAAAATGCCAGATGTGCCTGAAATTAGTCAGCAGAGGATACAGGTATGTGCCTTAGCCAAATAAATGACTTGTATCCTGCAGACATGGGAGTGGGAAAGTCTACTGATTCATTGTCACACAAATAGGTGAAATAAATATGTAATGTCCTGAACAAATGGATTGTTTTGCAGCTTCCAGACAGCAATATATTGTCAGCCTATATGCAGACTGTAACTAGAGCCTAATGATAATGAGAACACCTGGAAGCATCTGGAAAATGTTGCCTCCTCTTTTGCTCACCTCTACTGCATATTTGGCCTTTCATTGTCTTGTGCAGATTCAGTTCTGGAGTACTATTTAGTAGTTGCCAAAAATCAAGTTCAGTTAGAGCAGCTCTGGTGAGCAGGAGGATCAGAAGGAGTCCAGCCAAGTTTGGGGCTCCGTGGTTGTGATGGTTTTGGCAATTAGCCAGTTGCCCTTAGTGCTGTGTTTGAGTTTCTCCCTTTTACAGCTTCACACAGTTGGTGTCCTGATTCTGTTTTGGAGTGTATATTTTTGAGTTCCCATGCTATTGCTCTCTTCAGATCTTGAACTTCTTTTTCAGTGCAGTCTAAGAACCATCCTGGCTGTGTGATCCTCCTGTGTGAGCTAGAGAACAAGCAGTCAGAAGTAGCATTACTTGGAGTTAGCTACACCCATACATAAAGTAGGTGTGTCAGGGGGTGTCGCTTTACTACTCCTGCTTTCCCTCATCCTCCGTGCTTGTGTACATACAGATAGTGCAACCAATGAAAGTCCCAACAAGCAACTATAAAAGAGTTCCAGAAAGCACTGAAAGGGCAGAGTTCTTCATTTCTGACAGTTCTTGTGAGGTCTCTGGAAGATGCTGGCAGTGATGCAGACCTGGCTGGTGTCTGTGCCTGGAGATGCAGGTCCATAACTATCAACTATCTTGTTCCTCTTCAGGCATGGTATTGGTTGCAGCAGACACACAAGATCATGCAGTGGAATCATAGGCAAGACTTAAGACTGATCCCAAGGGGCTTAAATCTTGTCTTCAGATAGCTAAATGTTCACCTGTAGCCATGAGACACTGGGGATTATATGTCTGTCTATCTATCTGTCTGTCTGTATTTCCTCTTAATAGCTTCCTGCTCTCACTACCATGTTTTCATTTCTAGCCACAATTGGTTATAGGCAGTGACTGCAGTTCTCACTTGTTGTCCAGCCTATGTCTGCCATCACCTCAGCCTTTTCTTTGGCAGAGGTGTGAAGTCACATTTTCAGAACACATGATCATATATGTATATTTTAGCACACATGAGCAGTGTTTGCAGGGTGAGGGCACCATGCTGCCCCTGTTGTGCTGGTCAATTGCTTCCAGCAAAACTGAGCTTTCTGCTGAGACCTCACAAGTGCTGTGGAATAGGTTGGCTCCCCCACCCCACCAGGATGCTGTCACCTCACAGCTCTGGATCCATGGAGTTTAATGCCATCCCACTTTCCTCCACTTCACTTCAAACTTCATTCCTTGGAGTCAAATACAGCTGTCAAGTTTTACAGTAGAATGTTAGAAAAATGCTGAGGTCACACATTTAAAGTCTTGATGAGTGGAAGCTCTTACTCTGCAGACTTGCATTAAGTAGGGTTAGGTACTGTTCCAAATGCCATTAGCTGCAACTTTGTTGTCTGTGCTCCCAGTTGTGGAACTGAACAAGTGGGGATGGCAGCAAGCACTCAGCAAAGGAAATAAAGGATACCTCTCTCAGGCTAAACTTGAATTTCTGATGCATGCAAGTAAGCAAAAATGCCATTTTCTTTCCCATTCAGTGTTTTGCTCATCTTTTTTGCTTTTCTTCATGCTGTGCTCAAACTTTCTAATTGTAGGCCAGTTTTAGAAACTGTATTGGTTTTGAAATTACTCCAATGTAAACATATTTCATATCAATTACTGTTAAGGTTGGAGTAATGAGTACTTCCCTTCCTGTGTGCTAGCAGATGATTTTTCAACATAATTTGATTTTCCTTTAATGTGTATAACAATGGATACCTGATCATGTGTTCATATCTCAGTACCCTGGAGACAAGTTTCATGCTGACCATTCAAATGAGTATTATCGTGCAAGTACTGACAAGACTGACTGGGAATAGCTTAAGTTACATGTAGGTGTGAGAACCAGAATGATTCTAAAAAATTCCCACGTTCCAGCCTAACCTGCTTAATTCAATTCAGTGCTTACTTTAATGGGAGCAAGGTGATCTAAGAGGAATTCTTCTTGGTTGTTTTGTCTCATGGAAATGATACAAAATCTGCTTGTAGTAATGGTAATTTACTATTATGTGTTTAGTTCTGGAATGGTGTTAAGCCAAGTTTAATTGCCAGAAACATTATTTTGTCTTAATTTCATTGAGGGGTTCTCAGAGCCATGGAGACATTCCAGAGCTATATGATAAACTTTTGGATTGATATGATAGACTGCTGCCTTGTCATTCTCCTTATCTGTGTAGACTCATGCATACCCATGTGATGGTTTACTTATGTATAGAGAGGATTATGAAATATTTTCCATCTCTGTTGCCTCTGATATCTTTAGGCCATATATCTAGTTCAAATCTTGGTGAAGACAATTAAGCCCCTAGGCAAGCCAAACTAGGGTTATTTTATTTTAAAATATGTTTTTAAAATATGCTTTCAAAATTTATAGTAGTTCATATGGTATCTTTTATGCTCTTTACTCCTCTTTTTCTTTAACCTAGCTTTGTGCTTGCTGGAACCTTAGAAGTGTAAAACAAGTATTTGGAAGCAGTAGAATAACTTCCTTATATTGTGTGGTTCCATAAAAATGACATCAATAAAAATTTAGTTCTGTGCCTTGTGTGATGATTTTACTGTGATGTATGCTTTTATTGTTGGTGGTGTTTTTCTCTGTTTCAGGCCAAACAAACCAAGTGGCCAAGGAGGCAGCCAACAGATGGACTGGTGTGTATTGCAGTGACACAGCTTCACACTAGAGCAATTTCAGTAAAAGGCCTACTTAGTATTAAGAACTTTAAATTTGATAAGAATTTGACATAGGATAGTCCTCACTTAAACAAAACATAGAAAAATTTATTTTACTTATAAAACTATTATGATTCAACAAAAAGAATACATCTTCTCAGTTTTGTTACTGAATATACTTCATATGCCATAACAGATTTGTTCTTCTGATGCTGTCTTGTACACTGTGTTAAATCCTGCAACTTGTTTCCTTGGATAAGTTAAAATCTCTTAAGATGAGGAAAGCAATAGAAACTGGAAATGGTGATGCCCAGTATTCAGATAGTTTAATTCTATTCTGAATGTTCATTTCTTTCTAAAGAGTAGAATGTTTTGTGGAATCTTATTGCTGATACCATGTGAAGGATGTTGATACAAAGTAGGTATTTCTCAAACTAATTGATCAGTTTTGACAGGTAAAAGGATGCATAGCTTTAAGGAATGCTACTGTAATGACATTCATATGGAAGTTTAACTCAGTTTTCTGTTGTTGCTTAGCTTTGCTGTATTCATTCCCATTTTTCAAAGCAAACAATTTATATGTCCTTATGGTTTTTTAGAATTATTTAGAATATTGTTTATCATTTTTTGTCCAGAAGAGATCTCCTACTGATGGACTTGCTATCATTGGTTGTGCCAAGTGCAGCAGGATATCTCTGTCTTAATCTTTGGACTGTTTTATACCTGGGTTGTTTACTGCATATGGGGAAACAAAATTACGTGTTCTGGGAGTTGTCAGGGCTTTCTGCTGTTGGTGACAGGCTGTTCTCAAGGCTTCGAATGAGGTAAAGGAGCTGTGCCTCAGCCTGTAGAAGTACTTTGCTATTTAATTGGACAATTTGGTTATATGCTGCAGCATATTTTTCTTTTGAAGAGACAGTTTTAAAACCAAATGTGTGATGGTTAAAGAAAAGAAAAAATATCTCTAAACTGTGCAGAGACAGTGAACACTTCCTCTCTTAAGGAATGCTGCAATTTATGGGTGTTAAAAATGACGTAATGAGTTTCAGTAAATGCTGCAGTGAAAACTTATGTTAAATTGAACAAAATGTATATGTCAAAGTAATGTGATGCTAAAAAGAGAAGTCCTAACTAAAACAAAGCTTCTTGAATAAATAGTGTCTGAACAAACATGCAGGACTAGAAAGGACCTTACAGTAAATTTAAATCAAATTTTTGTAGCTGTAGACAGTCACATAGTAGGTGTCTAGTTGAAGAAGGACCTATAAAATACTAACTATGCATACTCACACTTACCTCATCACTCTAGAGCAGGCTTACACTGTAATTGTAGCTTTCAGTCTCCTTGTAAAAGAGGAGCAAGAAAAGATAAAGATGGCATATTTTTATTCGGTGCTAAGTAAATTATTTCCTCTTTTTTGGAGGTTATTAACAAAAGCCTCATGTTTTCTGTTCTAAATCTACTTGATAATGATGTTTCCCACTATGTACCTTTTTCATACAGACAAGAGATACTGGAAATGGAAGGATTTTGTTGTAGCTGAGACTAAAATTCATGCTTTCCTAAATACTCAAAATGAATGTTTTTCATTCTGTTTACAGATAACATCTTTTCAATAAAGTCCTGGGCCAAGCGTAAATTTGGATTTGAAGAGAGCAAAATAGATAAAGGTTTTGGAATCCCAGAAGATTTGGATTATATTGATTAGTGTTCAGTTGATGGCTGACACAGTTGTACATAGTTTGTTATATATTAATAGCTGCCATTAAAATGTGAATCCTCTCCAAAAAAGGTGACCGCCCTTTAATTTGCTGGTTTTGTTAAGGTTAATAAAATACTAAAAAATATTTGTTGCCCTTTTTTTTTCTTGTATTCCGTAGATAGTAAATCTCATGCCGCCTTCTGTGAGACAGGCTTAGCATAGACAGAGGTTATAGGGAATAATTACTACAGAGTCTGAGACTGGATTTAACTCTTCCTTTGCTTAACTGGAAGAGGTAAGTCCTAAGAGCTAGAAGCTCCAAGGATTTATGTTTAAACATGTTGAAGGCTTTGGAGTGGGAATTAGTGGGAACAATATGAAGTAGAATGAATTTTTCCCTAGTCTCACCAATGAAATAGAAAAAAGGCATTATCCATTAAGGGAAAAAAGTAAGACAGTAAGGAGGTGAGTAGAAAGGCTGAGGTCTGGTTTCTGGTAATTTTTTATTGTTTTGGTTGCTAGAACTGCTTGTAAGTTTAGTGACAACATATTTGTTGTTGCAAAATACTAGTGCAACAGAGCTGAATCTGTTGGGATTCGACACTGAGAAAGCTGTTGTGGTCAAGGGTGTATCTGCATAGGGGGGGAACAAAGAGCGCCCATCCCTTCACACCACTGTGCACTAAGATTTAGGATGTTTATCTGGAATGTGAGAGACTGAATTCAACTTACTGTTAAAAACTGAGGATTTTGGGTTTATGCACATTTTTCAATTTCAAGTTTAAAGCGCAGCCAGCCAAAATAATAACAGATGGTGAGCACCTCATTTTTTTTGGTGAAGTTTCTGAAGCACCTCACTTTGTATCAGCTTCTGGTTTCTAGTTCTGATCTGTGCATGGCTGCAGCAAGAGAGGTGGACAGTGGAGACTGGTGTTCCCCAACTGTGGATTGCAAGATGGCATTTGTGCTGTACAGCTCTGGAGGATTTAAGCTTTACCTTCAGGAGGTAGGTGGGCCTGCTGCAAGCTATCGCTGAAAAGTGTCTGTCCACCTTTTATGCAACATCTGATGAGAGAGCATTGCTGAAATGTGGCATTTATCTGGAAATGTTCCCAGAAATCTGTCTCCTGTGACCTTTCCAATTAAAAAGTTTCCTAGCAGTTCAGCCTATGTTAAAATGCAAGTATTTCAGGTATGGCCCTGGATATTGTCATCTCATGTCTATGGGGACAGCAGAGTTACTGGGAAGATAACAGGTGAAAGATTTCCTCTCAGAGAGATAGCGTAGCAAGCTGTCCATTGCCTAAGGAAAATGTATGGGATGCCTGGCACATAGGAAGATGTCATTAAGCTTAAAATTGCAATGGTTTTATGAGTTTGGAAGGACTTTATTCCTAATATTCCTTTTATGTGTTTGGAAGGACTTTATTTTTAGTATGTCCACTACTGAACCTTGAGTACAGCTGCTGACTGGTAAAGGTGTAAGGGAAGTAGGTGGTGCTGAGCTGAGTGTTGGAGAGTTCTTGGGCAGGCCTGGCTTTTGCCCCAGCAAGGAAGGGGGTGCTGTGCAGCAAAGCTCCCTGCGGTGCCAAACTCCTGATGCACCTGTAGCTTGGGTGGTTGGGTTGCCCTTGGATTTTGTGCTGTGAAACAGTAAAGAGGCAGGCTTTTTTGGTTCTTTGTAGGAGATCTCTCTCAAGTGAGTCCTTTTTTGGTTTTGCTAAACATTTGGAGTGACTGTTCTGTACCACCTAACAGGTCTGAGAAGCTCCTTGGCACATCTGTGTTCAGAGCACATAACTGCCATACAGTAGAGATGATGATTTCTCAAAAGGCTTGTTTGTATGAAGGAGCATTGAGCACATTAACTTACTGATGGTTTTTGCCTGTTAGAATCACTTTCATGTGGCTGACCTCCTATTGTCAGGGAGCCTCAGGTAATTTATGGTCTGTAGCAGCTTGTGCACCAAAACTTCCTCTGGTACCTGTGGGGATGAGGGTTTCTTACTGACTTCACTGCTTTGGCTACTTTCCAAATCCAAGAGGGAAACAAAGATGACCAGCTATGTAAGTTTAGCTGCAATATTGTGGCTTCCTGTCTGTAGGGTAAGAGCATTGTGGATTGTAGTAAAACTTTTAAATACAATAAATACCATCTAAATAACTATGCTTGAGGTAGATTTGCCCAGAGATACTACAGTCAGCCAGAATGACCTGGCTTTAAAAACGTCAAACACAGCCTTTATGCTTTGAACACGGAACTTAGGTAGTTCAGTTGCAGGGATTTGAGCAGCAGTGCAATTTTCTCTAGAGTTTTGGGTTTGTTACATAGGTACAGAACCAGATGTAGACATACCACTGCACTTTACTTTTTGTTCTGTCTTCTGGTGTTGGTTAGCAAACCTGGAGGGAGAATTTGTCTGCTTCTGTAAGGACACAATTTTGGAACAGTCAGAACAGAAATTTCTCAGCTAAAGAGAAGAACGAAAGAGGTGATGCATTACCAGAAACTGATTCTTACTCCTCTAGTGGAATAGATTGATTTTGTGCTACTGTTTTGTGATTCTGGATTTTTAGCAAAGGTGAATTTCAAGGGGAAAAGCAAAGATACATCCTTTCTGAGAGAAAAAGAGACAATTTGTGTATCTTGTACATTCCAAGATACTTTGAGCCTGCTGCATCTGCTCACTTTTGGAAGCTTTTCTTCTTAAAAAAATATGCAGCAGACTACTAAATCCCACAACATGAAACTATGTTGGATTGTGTGGTTTGAGATGTGTGTTCACTTCATTTTTTAGGAGAAGCTGGGACTTTGGTCTTCTGCTGAGTTAAAACTCAGTAGCAGTTAATATTATTTTCTTTCTGAGAAAATTTTTGCTATTAGCCTGTAGCAAAAATTAAAACACTTAAGCTGATTTTTTGTCCCAATTTGTATTTTTGATTTTCTTGAGATAGAACCTGAAATATTTCTAAAGAATCTAAGAAGAAAACAGTGAAGAATCTAACAAGAAGAACAGTGATTACTTCTACTGTTTCTCCTGTGGTTATGTCACAGCTATTTTATGTATGTCTTCCTCTTTTCTCTTTATTTCTTGTGCCCTATAGGGTTTTTTGCCCATGTAAGGTAAATGTTTTCAACTGTTATAGCTAAGCCAGTAGATGAGGCCCTAACTACAATTCAGGTTTATAATTAAAGCAGTTACTAGTGCAGTGGGTGAAAATCAAACCTGTTTTTAGCAGTCTGTTGCTCTGAACACTATCAGGAACAGTATCAGGTCCGGCTTTTCAAAATCTCATGAGGAGATTATCTTTACAGTACTAGGCTGAGGTGTTGGGTAGGCTTGCTCTTTGGGACTCATGTTGATTGGCCACTGTGAAGTAAGAGAGATGCAGGAGAAAATATTTATATCTACCTCATCTACTAAGAAACCTTAATTATTTAAAGAAAGTTGCTCATTGTTTCTGCCCTGAAACATCCTGTTTTTCCTTGTCTTTTATCTTGTCATCCACATGCTCTGTACAACACCAAGCATCAGCTCTAGGACTCCCTTTATGGCACTTGCAGAGTGTTAAATGTTAACAGTCACAAAGGTTTAGGTTTTGACACGAGTCAGTTGCTAAGCCTTTTATTAATGCATCATGTAAAATGTCATTTTTTGTTTGGGGGTGTATGAGAAGGGAAAATCCGGGCTCTGACACAAATGGCACGGTGATGCTGTAGTCACGTGACAGAGGTGGAACCGAAACTTCTTGGAACAATGAGGGGAAGAGAAACCCAGTTTGTAGTTTGTGATGGTGACTAAGAACTTCAATGCAAGAGGTCCTTGGAGAGTTCTTCTGTCATCCAGGCATATTTCCACCAGTCAGGTGATCTGGTTGGTGGGTTGGTGCTTATCTCCATGTTTCTTTTAGAGGTGAGGTTTGTGTGATCATACTTTTCTGTCATATATCTTCTCCTTTTCCCTCCTGTTCTTAAATTACCCAGTGATTTCAGTTAAGTTTACTCTGAGGGGCCTGGTAGAAGCTCACAATTTATTTATCTCTTCTGTTTGGCTGCCTGCCTGATAAATACAGGCTTTCCCTTTCCCACCTACCACTTTTGGAACTCTGAGAAGGGGTAGAGCATGCTGGAGGTGGGAGGAGGAAGGAAATATGTCAAAGATGGTGATGGAATATGTGAGGGTCTGGCAGCATTGATGGGGCTGACATGGGATGGTGTGTGCATCCTTTCAGTGGGAAGGAACAGGTGACTTACTTAAATGATGTCCTTGACTAATCCTCGGTGTCACACATGTGACTGGGTTCTTCCATGATGGCAGCAGGTAACGCCAGCTAGACACAGTTCCTGTGTAAGTATTCTTGTGCACAAGGAGTCTGCCTCCACATCAAGGATAGCCTTTCTCTTCAGCTTCTTTTTCTCCTTGTACCATTTGCGTTTTCCACCCCTCCAGTGTCGTTTCCCTTTTAGATCCGCTTGTGGCAACCACGTAGGCTGAGCAAGCGAAGCACTGCAGTCTGTACAGATGGCTGTCTGTCTTACTCCTCCTCCTGCTGGCACTGCTGTCAGCACACACACCTTCCAGTGCACAGGCATACGGGAAGGGAAGCATCTATCTCTGTGTGAGACTTGCCTGTTTAAACTGTATGCACAGAAGGCTGCATGTCAAGAAGACCAGGGAGCAGAAAGATCTGTGAACACCACCACAAGCAGAAAGATCTGTGAACACCACCACCAGCACCACTGAACTTCCCAGTGTCACTTCAGACTCTTCTATAACGCCTCACAAATGAATGAACAGTTTTTATGCTGTGTGATGGTCATACCTAACCTAGTTAGAAAAATTTTCCTTACAAAAAAGAGTTCCTGCTGAAGTATTTATAAAGAACAGTTTTTAAGCAAAACCTGCTGGGCAATTTTCCGTTTCCAGTATTTGATGAAATCCCAAGTTATTCGGAGAAAGGATGAGCCTTTCCATATGAAAAACTTAATTTTAAAATATACTCCATTCTTTTGTTTCAAAAAAACCTTACTGATCTGGCAACCAGTGCTGAAGTAAATCCTGTAACCCATCCAAGGGTCACCTTTTTTCAAGTGAGATGATGAGCTTCTGCTGCGCTGCTGCTGAGGCTCAAAAGGAGAAGCTG